CCCCCCCCCCCCCCCCCGAAAAAAAGCAAACGAAAAAACTGTGTATATCCCCATTGGAACCTTATTTTTTTTGCAAACTATAGGCATAGGATATAATGGATATTTCTCCAATTGCATCAAGATAAATGAGCCCAGAATTGATTTTTGCTAATGGTGTGTTTGGGAACTTGAATTTAGATTTCAAATCTGGATTTGATCCAAATTACTTATTTGGGAACTCAAAGAATTTGGATTTGGATTTGAACCAAATTTTTCTAATTCAAAATTAAGCCAATTACAAATCCACACCTCTCTCCATGTCATTTACAAATTCAAGCCCAACTTTTATTTAATTCATAACTTGTAATTAAAGAGTGATCTTCCTTTATACAACAACAATTCCATACATATCAACCCACTTCCATTACCGTATTTGTCGGCTTCAAGATTTCAAAATCTAAAATTGAAATTCTATGACTTCCAAAACAACATATGGAATTTGAAATTATGAGATTTCAAATATTAGAATTGAAATATAAGATTTCAAATGAATTCTAGTTCCTAAGCACTACCTAAAAGAGTTTCTACCATGTTCACATTAGATCTTGCAGTTGTTACTTTTGTCTAAATACCAATCATTCACATGGTTGTATCAAATGCGCTCGTCTTATATAAGATAAACTTATGATATAGGATGTAAAAGATTAACTTAAAAAAGAATAAAATGAGAGTTGAAAAGTAAAGAAAGTACAAAATGAATAAGGTTATGGGGATACATATCAAAAGGCGAACCATCCTGCTTGTGGCTCTGATCATTCACAATCTCAATGACATGTAGTTCTTTCTCATTGTTAATGATGACCGTCTGTCTAGTGATCCTGCTCTTCCTTATCTACTATTATCTCTTCAAAGTTCAAATGGAGATAAATTCGGATGATTTTGGTCCTAGGTATTTAATTTTTTTTGTATTAGTAACCACTAACCACAGTAATACTAATACAAGTGCGGTTCAATCCTGAGATCTAGCTCTATTGATTCTTTTGTTTTGCATCAGTTAACCACATTGGATTGCTTTGTCTAGTTTAATAAGATTCAACATGATTTCACACCCTACTTTTTCATTTGTGTTTCCTTTGAAGACACTCCCTTTGATTAACATGCAGGCATTACTGCTTTTGAGAAAGAGTATAGAGATTGGATTGAAGAACAAAATAACCAAATTGACAACTTGAGGAATGCCTTGCATTCTGAAGTTGATGACACTAAATTGGGCATCCTTATTGACGGTTGCAAGAGTCATTACAAGAATCTTTTCTGCAAGAAAGCAACTGCTGCTAAGGCTGATGTCTTCTACATTATGTCGGGTTTATGGAAAACACCAAGTGAGCGACTTTTCTTATGGATTGGAGGAGTTCGTCCTTCTGAGATTCTAAAGGTAATGTTTTACATACATTAAAGGTAACACTTTTGCATAGTTTGTTTTCATACATGATTGTATAATAGATTTGAATTTCTAGTAGACAATCTGCTAAACTTTTGTTGGTAGATTCTGAAGAATAAGTAATCATTTTCCAGGCCCTCAAGAGATGCTTGTAACATTTTCCTGCTCTTCACCATCAACTATTATCCTGCATAACACGTCATTCTAAATCTGGGGTTTTCAGTTCTGAAACTACCAGTGTTCGATACACAATCTTCTTATGTGATTAGTTTGTTTTCCATGATGCCACCCACATCTTTCTAATCTAAATTGGTATTCAAATGGAGTTTATCATGTCTCTTTTGGTTTTTCAGATCTTTCTAATCCCTTTTTGGTCCATTGATATCCTGCTCAGTCCTCATACATTTAACCAGTAAAGGAATATCTGCAGGAGAAATGAAAGGACCCAAGATAATAGAAATTAAAAATATATACAGAGTATATCTATATACATACATACATACATACATACATACATACATACATACATACATACATACATACATACATACATACATACATACATATATATATCATGGAACAATAACAACAATAATAATAAACTGTAGCTAACCAATATTTACATTCAATTGCAGATTGTGTTACGGCATGTCAAGCCTTTGACAGAAGATCAACTTCCGTTTGTTACGAACCTCCAGCTAGCATGCCACCAGATGGAAGAAGCTCTATCACAAGGATTTGTGAGACAACACCAATTCCTGTCTGAGGCAATTGCAACAGGACTATTGGGTGAAGGGAATTACTTGCAACCTGCAATGGAACATTTGGGTCTTTTAGTGAACTTCATAATTCAGGTATCTTACATGATTTTCTTCTCTCTCTATTACTCATATGATTTCAACCAAGCAAGCAAATATCAAAATGTAAGACTATTTATTCTCTTTTGGGGGGCCGGGGTCTAAAAACAGGCAGACAATCTTCGTCTAATGACCATAGAAATGGTGTCTTGCAAGTTAACTATCAAGCAAGCAGCTTGGGGCCTTCTTGCTTTGGGAGAGTACCTTCAACGTCTCCGTACATTGAGCTCCGTTTGGGAAAACCATTTAAACGAACCGGCCGAATAGATGAGCACATAGATTGTTCCTCCTTCCAAGCCCATCACAGCAACATTATCTCATTTATTGTGTGTTTGGAATGGGCTCTGTGTAGATATCTATATATAAGGCGCTGCTGCTGATTTTGAGGCTGCTATCGCTTGTAAATAATGTTGCTACTGTACATGAAGTTTGTAGTTATAGTCTTGTGTTTCGTTTCATTTGTAATTTAAAAATTTTATACTAGTAACAAAATTGGCCCTAACATGATCAGAGCTTGTTGATGGATTGTAGTTATATTTAAATCTGTTTCTTCCTTGTGAAAATTTAAATTGATTTTTGAATTTGGTTTGATAAACAATACACCCATTGTTTCACATTAGATGACATGTACACTATCATAGAGTAAAATTTTATTAACTTTCTTTACATAATTTTGTTAGTCATTAAAAAAAATAAAAATGCTAGGCGTACACTACTTTTGGAGTTTTGATGAATACCACCTGTGCACCGATGTATCAGAGACATACAGACATGTGCACAAATAATTGTTGTCTGTCTGTAGCTGTAACATGCTGATGTACAAGTAGTGTACACCAAAATAGCCATGTTATACTATTTTTTTAACTCCACCCCAATCATCTTCTTTTTTTGGAACAAAAAGTGCATATATTAATCAACCACCATTTTTTACACAGTCTTATCTCATCCCTCTAATCCCTGCCAGCCCCCTAATCTTAGCATTTATATTTAGGCTTTACAAAAGTTTTAACATTATATCTCATCCCTCTCCTTCCTGTTGCTTCCCCTCACAATTTTGCCTTCCATCTCCTTAATATTGCCAGCTGTAAGGTCAGTTCTAGCCCATTGAAAACCTTCTGCAATATCTCCATAGTGAACTCACAAAAGTAGAATAAGTGGTCAATACATTCCTCACTGTTACCACAAAGACAACAAGTAGTATCTATCTGCATAAACTTGTTCAATTTGGCTTTAGTTTGCATTCTCCTCTTCCATATCAGCCACATAATTATCTGGTACTTGGGAAGAGACCAATTGCTCCAAACTAGGTCAGCCCATTTTATGCTCTCTTTATTTCCCATTAGCCATGAATACTCCTCTCTAGTGTTGTACTCTCCATTCATAGACATGTTGGTGAAATCATTTCTTACTTTAAGCATTTTTCTCAATTAATAACAAACATCCCCTTTGGGGTTGTAGTGCCCCACGGTCTCTTGTTTCAGATATCTTCCATGGACCCACCTGACTCACAAGATATCTTTCCTATTAACCAGATTCTTCAGTCAGATCCCACCTTTATTTTTGGGTAGGCAAGTCTCTCCCCAATCATCTTTTATAAATAAAATAAAACTTAATTTTAATAAGAAATCCTAAACTAACACAAGTCATAAAATAGGATGAAACGAGTGAGTAATTGAAATAAAATTGAAGAGAACAAACTCAAAATACTCCCTCCGTCCCACAGTATTTGTCTACTTTCATTTTTGCACACCATCAAATACACTTCTTTAATCCATTTTATCTTGTAATTTGTATATTAAAAATTATAGAAATTATATATTAATAATCTATATGTTAAGACAAATCAAACAAGATCACACATGACTATATTAAAGCTTACACATTGAGAGAATTTGATTAGTCAAAGTACTTAGATGAACAGTTCCAAAAGTCAAGAGTGGATGAATATATGGGAACGGAAGGAGTAATAAATTAACAAAATCAAAATCATGAAATTACCCTTCAAAAGATGAAGGCGGGGGGACGAACTTTCCCATACAGATGTGGAATGGAGGATAGAGACCAGAAAAGGCCCAGGGGAATCTGATGACAAAAGCCCAATAACAGCCCAGTCAGGTAGAAAAAGTTTTGGATGGTTCTGGGTCGTAAAATTGAACCCGACGTGAGTCAGACGCGCTACCCTTGCGTCACGGATCCCTTTGCCAAAAACTATTAATTTAAATAAGTAAAACGCATACAGACACTAAAGATCAGATGCACCATTTACAGTTCGAATTTTCTTTAGCAAAGGGATATTCCAAAAATTGTACCCCAATTTTACACCAAATGTATGCAATAACATATTGATGTTTCACATCGATACAAAATGTTGGTGTGTTAGAAAAAATTTACACTAACACAACAATGTTATCGCGTTAACAAAAATTTACACTGACATAAAATGTTATCACGTTAACAAAAATTAACAAAAATATAAATCCATCTATTTTATTCTGTTCAATTTGTTTAAAATTTTAAGGATAAAATTATTTGTATCCCATTTGTACATCGCAGATGTGCACCAACATTGTGTATTGGTATAATGCTAATTTTTGTTAATGTACCAACATTTTGTTTCAGTGTAAATTTTTGTAAACACACCAACACTTTGTAACAGTGTGACCCATCAAATTTACTCTTGCACCTAACCCTCTAACTTTTCTCAACTATTACACCTAATTTAACTCAACTCCTGCACCTAACCTAACTTAAATTTTCTCAACTACTAAACAAAATCCTACAGCTAACTCAAATTCTACCTAACTTCACTCAACTACCACACATCCTCAATAACTTACATATGCCTTGCGGGAAGTGTTATGTCACTACCAAATGAAATGGAATGGCCTAATGTTGGTTACGAATTAATGCGACCAAACACGGGGCAGCGATCACAACTCGATCGTCCAATAAGTACCCGTTTTATTAATAACATGGATGTGCGACCGCGAAGACAACGTCGTGGCATGTAGTTCATGAAAGGAAACCATGCAAGGATAGGCAGCGGAATATAAAAATTTTAACATCCTAACATGATTATCTTGCCCAGAATCACGTACTAAAACTTATAGTAGTAAGAAATTTGTACCTTTCTTCGTAAGCGGTAAAAAACGAAGAAGTCGTAGGAAGAGCGTTGAAAGTGCAAACGTAACCGTTCAAGCGTCCGGTCTCCAACTTTGACACACGAACAACGCCGGAGTCTACCACAATCTTTATGCTAGTAAAGATTATAGTAGTATAAAATATAAAGATTAAAATTTGGGATAATAATAATCTTGTATATTTCTATAGAAAATATTTCTAATAATATTTAGAAAATATTATAGATATTTTCTATACACAAAATGATATTAATGGAACCAAACTAATATATTCTCTCTCTTGAAATGGTATGGCCGAATCTCCCATCACCCAAAACCAAACTAATTTGCAAATGGAGTGTTATATTTAAATAAAACAAAGATGTTTAATTAATTTTGTCATTAGCTAAATGACAAAACAATTAGCCCACTAATTTATCAATCAAGGAAAGTTAAAACAAATTTGTCAAACCTTTAATTGATATGGCCGTATGTTTTGATTTGA